CCCCCCCCCAGATTTTTGTGTTTCTAAAAAGAAACAAAAAACAAATGACAATATTCAAACCATTAGAAAAATGAATAGATAGATTATTTATGAAATATTTCTAAGCATGCCTTTATTAAATGATTTCCATTTTGTAATACATGTTTGTGTATGTGAAGGGCTATGCTCATGTTATAAAGAGGGGGTTATTGGGTTAATACATAACAGTGCTATACACAAATAAATCAGAAATGCTAAAAAAAAAAGTTTGTTAAAACGGGTTTGTCTCCGTAAGGCGATTTCGGGATCCTGCGCACCAAAATTGGAATTTAATGAGGTCACGTATCATTGAAATGATGTTTTAAAACTGTATAGAGATAAATGTGTAATGTCGATAAGCGAAAGGTTCTACTTGAACATATAGGCATTGCTTATCAGGATAAACATCAGCTTATCTTAACACAGTTTACTTCTTAGTGCTAAGGCTCATTTTAGTGTGGACAATCAAGGACGCAATGTCGACAAACGAAGAAACGACAATGGGAAAAAAGAAATACATGTTGGTGTATTTTCTTGTAAGTAGTATTTTAATTATAATTATTTTTTTGATAATTTTTCAACCAGTTGAAGGTGCTTTTCGCGAATATGGTAAAACATGTTTTAAACAGTAACAAGCTATATAGATTAAAAAGCGTTACCTCTGCAATATCATATTGTAGTGTTAGTGCGATGAAAAGTAATTCTATATTAAAACTCTTAATTCCGTTTCTATACAGCCACATGATGCAAAAAAAATGCTTACTTTGTTTGGTTTCTGAACCAACAAATTAAAATTAAAAAGGCGCTTTCTTTTTATATCTAGTATTTCTTAATGATTGAACTGTGGGTTTTTTCCTTTGTAGATATTCGTTCTATGTGTCCTCCGAACAAACGGTAAGTTATAATGAAAACAATTGACACATAAGTGTTGCTATTAAACGACTTCGACATTGTAATTGTTTCTGAAGAAACGATATAGAAACGTCTGACGATAAATTACAAACCTCAAGATTTAGCTTTACATATATATCTATAGCATACAGTGGGTATCTAGTCTACCTAACCGAAACTTAAATGGACTATTGCCATCCGTCTTCCTCTGTCGTCATCCATCGTCCATTTACAACTGTATATTTTCGAATTTGTCCTTTTACCTTACCTAAGGTTTTTTCCGAAATCCAAATTGGCCACCATGGGCTCTGGTTGGCAGAAACATTTTCGACTTCTTGTTAGGAACTGCCACTGGTCCAATTTTTTTTTATCTATGTTCCTTATGAATTCTTGACCAAGTATTAAATTTTTTTGCTCAAATTCTAAGCAAAATGGCCGTTATGAGCACTTATTTGCCGATACCTGTTTTTGCTTGCTCTCAAGAATAGATAGAAATATTAAGTTCAAACTTGGTGCAAATGTTCATATTTAGGTCCCAACAAATGATTATTACTCTAAAGATCAATTAAAAATTAAAAATGGCCGCACTCGGCTATTCTTGACTGAGACCGACCGACGATGTGTTCAACAGACAGATAAGATTTGCATGAAAACTTCCCATTTTCTAACTACTCCACACTATACAACCAGATTTTTTTGATTTTTTTTTATAAATTCAGTTGTTTTGTTCGTTTACAGGCTCTTACTGACATTCAGATTTAGCCTAAAACCCTACCTTACACTGTAGCATAACAAATATTAACTTTTGGGTTATTTTCATTAAAGATTATGATAATTAATAATCAGCGCCAAAATTGCTAAAATATGATTACGACAAAAATAAGTTATTTTACAGTATACCAATCTGTAGGGTACACGCTTGCAATTAAGGTCTAATTAAAAAGGCATTACGACATGAATATCCCAGTATCCTTCAGCTATTACTTATAGCTCATCTCTCATACTTCTTTTATCTAACGATCTGCCCTCGAGATGAGACAGATAAAGCAGGAGAATATTATAACGTTTATCAATCGATATACTAAGTGCGATACAATATGTTGCCGATGTTTATTCTCGTTTACCAGCCCTGACGCAGGTGAGGCTGGTTGGGAGTCTACACGGGAGGAAGTGGGACGGGCGGGTGGAGGTCTACCATGGCGGTGTCTGGGGATCCGTCTGCTCGGACGGGTTTGATACTAGGGAAGCTAGAGTTGTCTGTCGTATGATCGGATCGCCGGCAAGGTATGGTATCAGGTTTTGCTTCTATGGTTAAGTATTGATAAAACCAATGAATACTTATCACTCCACTGATGTCGTGTTCAGTGGTTAGATGTAGCTTTCACAGTAATTAACTTTCCTTTTCTTGGTAGTAACATATAGTAACAAGCTAGCCACTCATGCTTACGGAGATTACTTCTTACTGCTACTTCAGATGATCACGCTCTTAGAAGATTTTCTCGGAGAGATAACTGAATTTAAAGGTGCAGAACTGATACGGTCGTTATGACTTTATCTCCAATTTTTGAGTTTGACGTGATCAAAAATTGTCCATCATGTGTAGGATATCAATGACCTACGTCCTTTCAAGGGTATGAAAGGAGACATCATGACGGGCCCCACATGTGCTGCAAGACAGGTTTACTCTTACGGACCACGTGGTTTCTCTTCGTATTAATCATGTTCTCATATTTTCTTTTTGCTTCCCGCTGTTGTGTTTTGGTATCGAATTTGGGTTCTAATTGTTTTCTTGTGTGTTGACGCTAAGGTATATATTGTTTTTCCCTATCACCACTCACATGCTGGATTTTTGTTAAATTTCTTCAGCTATAAATATGCTTCCCGCTGTTGTGTTTTGGTATCGAAATTTGGTTCTAATTGTTTTCTTGTTTGTTGACGCTAGGGTATATACTGTTTTCCTTTTCACCACTCACATGCTGTATATTTTAGGTAAATTTCTTCAGCGATAAATTTGTTTTTGAAATTTTGAAAATATTTCCTTTGTTCTTATGTTGCCCTAGTTGTCTCGATTTTGAGTTCGAAATGTGGTTTTGTTAACACTTTGATAGCTTCTTGTTATTTTTATCTTTCTTACTTGTTACTTGTTACTCAAGAAATAAAACACTGATTCATATTGAATTTGACTCAAGACCCATTGAGGTTTATACCCCATAAACCTCAACAAAACACGATTCTATCCTTATATTTACAATCAGTGCGATATTGATATTTTTTGGATAATTTGTAAAATATCGGTCTTTTGCAAGTCTAACACCATAGAAGGGACCGAAGCTATGATGTCATCATTCACTGTAAAACGTCGTCCTGCTTAGATGAATAACTTGTTTCTATTGATTACAATATATAAAAAAAAAATGTAAATTAGTTTTCTTTAAATCATACACCAACTGAAAAGTTCATTGAAAAAAATCTTTAAAATGTTTAGTAGGTATATTGAGTCCAAGTTAAGTAGAAATATAAATATTTCAAAATGAATAATTGAATTTATACCATTTTACTTCCTGTACATGTTGATATGAACTCCTTGCTTACCAGGAGCGCGCGTGTGGAGCGTCAATACAGTACAGGTACGGGTCCGATCTGGATGGCCGGTCTGGGCTGTCATGGATCTGAAGCGGACTTGGGTTCCTGTCAGTTTAACGGGTGGGGTGTACACAGCTGCCAGCACAGCCAGGATGTCGCCGTGAGCTGCGGTTAGTAAGTTTGGGAAATACGTGACAAATTTATAAGTTAATGTTTTACATACTACAAGCGGCCATTTTTATAATAATGTCCTTTCTTTGTCAGGAGAGCGTTTACGAGACAAACTTTATACTTAAATGACACTACGATATTGTATAATTAATCCTTTAAAGTTTGGTAAATAGCAAAAGTGTTACTACAAGCCCCAGATGCGGACGCAAAATGATGAAATTTCATTAAATCTGCGTGTGTCTTTAGGTTTTTTTTTCTTTCTCTCCAGTAGATTAAGTTAAGAACTTTTCGTTAATACAGATATTAGTTCAGACTTTCATCATAAAGTTTACAAATAACAAAAAAAGAAGAAGATGAAAATGAAAATCAATAGTGAGGTCGCATATCAGAATATTAATTGATGTTTTGAAATGTATTCTTTGTGTATATTTAATGTTAATGATTGAACCAATTATAAACACATGTAAAACATTGACTCGTGCATGAACATGACTTACCTCGATCGACATCTTGGCCTCCTTCCGAACTGATCATGTGACCCCTTCGGTAGGTATCGGTTGTATTAAAAATCACACTCCACTTCTCATCTTGATAACAAACACGTCAGTTATTGATGAATAAATGTTTTATCAAAGACTTTATCAAAAAGGTTTGCAATATGCATATAAAATTAAATAATGATAATGAAATAAATAAATAGGATATATTTTTGACCATTGAATTACTCAAAAGACATTTCCGTGAAAATCAAAGGTCAAACGGTCATCTTAGCCTGTAGCTTACTAATTAATAGCCCGTCATGTTTGTATTACCTTTCAAATGAAAAAGAGACAAAGATGACATATGGTGCCACATGATTCTTGTGACCCCTGTGCGAGGACATAGGGTGTCTAAGAGTGTGAGACGCATATTCTAAATATTTTATATACATATAGGTTATGTAGTCATCTAATGTTTACAAAAAACAATCAAATTATGAAAAACTTGCAACAGAACCTATTGACCACTAATTTCAGCCTTCCAATATGAAAATATACTACTGAAGAAAATATCTTTCCTACTATAGAATACAACTGATCAGTACTTTATTGGCTAAGTTCAGCTATGAATTAAAAACGTAGAAAGTATCAGTGTTTTTGGCAGGAAGAAACAATGAATATTGTTTTTGTGAATTGCTCACTTTTTGCATATTTTTTCGAGTTATGAATGTAGTCAGGATTATAGGTAATGTAACTTACATTATATAATATATATCACTCGTTTCAAATAATAACTATTCATAGTCCTAAACAAGTGTCATGTTGTCATACCCACTAGCTTCACAATGAAAAGATATATGACTATATCTCTAAAATATGCTGAACGGTAGAGACCGCCGTCTCATGACCTGACATATACATGATCAAACAATATTGAAAGCTAGATATAACGAGTTAATCTCATGTGCTCAAATTCATCGTTGAAAATTGTGTACCTGTAAATGGTTGTAGATCTTCCTATTCGACTTTCACGGAGCGAATACGAGGGACGACTGGAGATATTCCATGGTGGTACATGGGGTACGGTCTGTGATGATTACTTCGCAATGGACGATGCCATTGTGGTGTGTCGTACTCTGGGATACAACACACTGTGAGTTTCTCGTCTACTAATACACGTACCATATACATTCATAGAAAAATGAATATCATGTATTATTGAAACATTCCGTATTATTTGGATTAATATTTTTATAAGAGCATGTAGTGTTGAAATACATTGCAAAAAATAAGGCGAGTGTTGCATAGATTTTTGTTTGAAACTGTTTACCAATTGTCATACTGTGGGATTACTAACCGCAACGCTTCTTACTACATAGCAAGCTATTACTCGTTTGACTAGCGTGATTAGCCAAGTTAGAAAAACGTACTGTATGGAAATTTGAGAAATTATTCCTTAGATGTCCTTATTTTTATTGAAATATCATTACAATATTAAATTACAGCATTACACTGATCAGAAACGCATTTAAAACACTTTTTTTACTTCTTTTACGGATTTCTTCATTATATATTCGTGTACCTACATCGACGACAACATTTCAAATATTGTATTTTAATTGCATAGTGTATTGGCTAGATCTTCAGGCTCATATTCAGGAACGATTAGCAATCGCTAACCAGAGTTGTCGTTCTTAACACTATCTTACACAAGTGAGTTTAAGGAACGACAACTATGGGTAGAGATTAGATTGATTAGTTAAACTATCAGGTAGTAAAAATAATGTACCAATTTATAAACATTTTGTTTTGGATAACCGACCCAACTGAAAATACAATTCAATGTTTTATGATATTTTTCCATTGTTCTTTCCCCCACTGATTCAGGCTGTAATAAAAACGGGTATGTCCTTCTCAGTTGTCCTCACACTCTTATGCTCAACTTCTCATTTGTATTTCTAATGAATATTCGACTATAATATAATATAAGCTGTATATGCTACACACATTTATCCGCTTAATTATGTTAAAGATCCCCATTTTTTTCTATCCATTTTAATAAAATTTCAATATTTGTAAACTTCAAACTCGGAAAAGAGACTTTTATGTGAAAATGAAATGTAGGTTATTAATCATGATGTCAATCTATATTATGACATTATTCCACATTCCTTGATTTGTGAGAAATATAGGGCAAAATGAGGTAAGGTACTTAACACTACCCGAGAAATCGTTATGTACTAAATTTACTCGCAGACATCCAGTTATAAAAGCCGCTGCTGGTTACGGCCAGGGCTCCGGTACAATCTGGATGGACGATGTACGATGTAATGGTACAGAAAATGACTTACAGGACTGCAGATTCCTAGGCTGGGGGCAACATAACTGTGCTCATAGTGAAGATGTTGGAGTTTTGTGTAGTAAGTAAATACACATAGACACATACTCATGTAAAACACAAACACAACACACATGTTGTTAAGTCTATTTGTGCAGGTTCGCAGTCACTATCAGGAAACACAGAAATCACTGACCAAAATTTCACGTGAATGTAAATGCACAGGTCATAGCTACTAATACAGTCTAATCAATACAGATTCAAATTTAACGTGAGAGACATATATAATATGATTTATAATAATATATATCAACAAAAGTTGGAAAATACCACTGATCAATAACCATGCTCAAAAGCAATATCGTACATCCTTAGATATTATTTTGGAAATACAAAATGGAAAAGGGGAAAGGGTCCCAGATTTTATTTTGATTAACTAGTAAGTATGCTATCATACGACAATTGAAAAGCATTGTTTGATTTTAGTCTGAGTAAAAAACATTTCTCCAACAGCGATGATGGATATATTCATGGAGGTACACCCAATTAAACTATTCTTGATATATGTTGAAAATCAGTGGTGCTTTTGCACAGTTGCCTTGGTAGAATATTAAATACGTTTTGAGGAAGATCGAATTTCAGGTAAATACGATCCATATAAATAAAATGTTAAACGCCTTTTCTAATCTTTCTTATTATAACATTTCTGTCTGTTATAGATGCCAATGCGATACGGTTGGTGAATGGTTCCTCTATAGAGGCAGGTCGTCTGGAAGTGTTCAGGGGAAGCTGGGGAACCGTATGCGATGATGGTTTTGCGGAATCAGATGCTAAAGTTGTATGCAGAATACTCGGTTTTCAAATTCAGTACGTTTGATATTATTGTAAGCTCATTCATGAAAAATGAGAAACAAATAAGGCAAAGTCCACGAAGGTTTTTCCAGTTAACATAATTTTGCAATCTAAAAAATGAATGTTCAATTTAATACTTCATCCTTGTGTCTGATTGTAATCTAGATACAGTTTTTTATGACTATAGATCAACTTATTGTATTTAAGCATAATATACCTACATTCGTTTATTGTTGCGACAATCTCAACATTCGTTTATCAATGATACAGTATGTGCAAAGTCTCGATCAGAATTTAGTTACTACACATTTGTGATAAAACACAAGTTTTAAATATCTACATGGTATACATTAAATGGGTATTTATATTTCAGGAATTCAATTGCAATGGGCAATGCTAAATATGGGCAAGGATCGGGACAAATATGGATGGATGATGTGACATGTACCGGAACTGAAACAGACATAGGAACCTGTCCATTCCGTCAAAATACTTGGGGGTCTAATAACTGTGTTCATTCCGAGGATGTTTCAGTGAAATGCTGTAATAGAAATATCATTTATTTGGATTCGTCTTTTTGATCTTATGCAAGGTTAATTTTGGAGGGTTGCGTTGGGGAGACGATGGTAGATATCCCCCAAGATAATAGTATTTAAACGTTCTATGATAATGATGATGTGATTCTTACTGATTTCCATATAACTCCACATTGTAAGGCTATGTGTTTTATGTAAATATAATACGTTACATGTCATAGTGCACCAAATAAATGTTGATTCATTTGCAGCAGCAAATATCGAAGATTTTGACTTAAAGAATAAACAATATGGTTTACAAGCGTGTTTCCATTAATAACTTATACGGCGATATTGGAGGCCAAAAATGAAAGGTTTCAAAAGTGCGAAATAGAAGCAAAATAAACGTCTTAACTTTAAAATTATTATAGAACTTAGTATACCCTTTATTTAGTCACAGAAGATAGTGTCAACATTCGATTGACTGGGGGCCATCATCCATATGAGGGAAGACTGGAGATACGTAACAGTGTAGGATGGGGAACCGTCTGCGGTCGGGGGTTCGATACCCATGACGCGAGAGTGATATGCAATAGACTTGGCTATCCAATATCGTAAGTCCATTATTTATATTTTTTACCATTTACTCTTATTTAACTGGATTGGTGAGATAGATATCGTATTCAGCAACTGGATATTGCATATTTCATATGCTTTATATAATGACTTTTTACCAATGTCTGTTTATCCTTTTTTAGTTCGAATGTTCAACTATTAACATGACATTTTTCAAACAAGGCACTAAAACACGGTCCTAAAAACAACAACGGAAAATGCTATTTATTCAATTACAATTTGAGATTGAGAGGCAAATGTTCTTTTCATACGAACAAGTTATGGAATCCATTGAGTCTTTGAAAGGAATATCACTAGGCAAAAAAGGAGGAAATCGGTTATTTGCATGACCCTATGGTACGAAAAGCTTAAAGGCGATGCTCGTGTTGCTAAAATTTAAAAGATTTAATATTTTGAAGTGCCTTCTTGTTTATACTCATACATATATGATGTTAAATAGTTGTATTGCATATTACCCTCCATATGATAAGAACTATTCACAAGTATTAATCTCGGAATTGTTCATGATATAAATATAATATCAAAAAATAAATATGATCTGTGTGACCATTCAGATTTCCCAGAATATTTACCACTAAGCAGTTCAGTCGAGGTTCTGGTCGTATGTTCCTGGCCGATGTCAACTGTTCCTTGTCCGACTGTGGACTGTCACACTGGAGTATGGCTACCAACTGTACTCACGATGACGACATTGAGCTGTCCTGTGGTTTGTGTTCCTCTATTAAAAGAGTTTATTTTATAAACAACAGTTTAAAAACACTCAATCGCATATGCTAACATTATCACTGAAAGTATTTTTATTTTGTCTGGATTGATAAACAATCTTAACAAATTTGATTCCTTATTTTAATGTGCACAATTTAATTATAAGAGAATATCGAAGTGTTTGAAAAACCATATTGAAATCAATGAATCGATAAAATGAGGACAAAATATGAACAAAGAAAACATGAAAATCCTTGGAAAGTACAACGAAACAAAACCAGGTGTTCCATAAGGATAGGCGTCTTCTGCTTCATCGACAACTCCCGCTATGTAAACCTAGGTCAAATCGAAGTGATGTCACTTCCTTACATCAGGAACTCTGAATACATTTTTTCGATTGCTTGTTAAATTTACTCTGTTCTATATTGATTACTAGGTCCACATCCGATTCAGTTAATCGGGGGGAAAGGTCCGTGGGAAGGAGTGGTGAACATCCTCGTTAATCAGCACTGGATATCTGTATGTGATCCAAGCTTCAATGAAGATGATGCTCGAAGAATATGCAATGTTCTCGGATTTAAAAGGTCCATATCGCCGTTTATTTCCATATTTTATCCAGGTTGAGTTTTAATAAAATAATGATGACTAAAACTACATCTGAACAAAGATTGTATAATGAATGTGGAAGCCTTGTGCATTCATATGACGTGGGGTCATGACTGTAGGAATCCGTCTTGTCTTTCATTAGAGAAAGTTAACGGACGACGATCGTAATTAGACTACCAACTTAATCATGTATTAACTGATCGAAACGGTTAGATTATTTTATAATAAATATGATTGTTTTATTTGTAATCCAAAGAGGCGGAATTCCAACTTCAGGTTCCAGTAATGAAAATACATATGACGATGCTTTGCTCAACAATACCGATTGTATAAAGGCTGACGGGGACGTGTCTTCATGCACGGTAATCACCCAACCAGACCGCAGATGCCAAAAGACAACTGAGGTGGCTGTGAGATGCTGTACGTGACGTACCGTTTTGACACCTGTTCTATGCCTTCGCATACTGATAACAGTGGATTAACGATTAGTACAATTGTGCTTCCTTCCACATCTATAATTATTTTTTTTTAAATATTTTTCATATATTTACAAATGCAAACTTCGGTTTTGGACAGTCTTTACATTTATAACAAAGATGTTTAGACAGTTTAAAACCCTCAATGCACGCTTCCATGTCGTATTACATGCCAACGGAGTAAATTTACCTGTAGTCAGTACAAATGTGCGTAATACGTGTACGTTTTTGTGTTTACACAATTAGTTGTGACGTAGCAACAATTATTGCTACGTCACTGTTCTTCTCTAGTGCGTCAGCTTATTTTATGTATAATATTAGTAGCATTTATATTGATATATAGCAATTATATAGGGAGATGTACTGGATAGGACATATAGGCATTGTGTTATTATAAAATGTTCATTTTATTAAAAAAAAATTGTATTTGTCATTTGTAACTGACGTAAGTTTCATATAAACTGTGATATAACCATTGTATGTTTTCTTCCTTTTATTATGCTATTATATTGTTTTCATTGCTTTAACTACAGATCGATTGTTTTCTCCTATATTCTTTCGATCATCTATCCAGATATCCAATATATAATTTATCTTCAGATATAGCTACATTCACGATGTTGGGAAACAGAGTCGTCAAGTATGCTATTAACCCATATGTCGTAACTTCCGTATTATTTGGGCTTATTCTCAATTCATAGCAACATAAGAAAATTGAGGGACAATTTTTATAAACAAGAAGCTTCATTCTGTGACATTCTCATTATATTACAGTTATGGACTCCGTGCCCGTGCGTCTGGTTGGAGGAGCGCACCCAATGGAGGGTAGGGTGGAAATCCGCCACAACAACAAGTGGTTCTCTGTGTGTGACCGCACGTGGTCTGACCAGGACGCCACGGCCGTGTGTAACCTCCTGTCCACATATCCTGTCAGCCGGTTAATACACTTGTCATAATTTATTCAATTTAGTTCCTCATTTATGAATTAAAATTGACCATATTAGGAACAACCAATTAGTTCTTGAAAAAAGCCTTGATGAATGATGTGTTAAGCAAAATTAAATTGTTATATTACAATTAATAAAACGGATAACTGACTTGTTCCGAATTGGGGGTAATTTGAAACTCTAATTTGTATCGTTGAAAAATGTCATGCCTATAAAAAGGTAGAACAATGGAAATATTTTTGAAAATGATAATAAAAATAACAACCCGGAATATTGCTATCTTAATTAGGCAGGTGACGGGGATGGCGTTAGGACACAGTCTATTTGGGTACGGGGAGGGGCCACTGGTTACCGCACACTTCCCTTGCAACGCGGAGGGATATGATACCAATGACTGTTTCAGCCAATGGCAGTTCGACGCTGACTGCGATCACAGGAACAACGCAGGCGTCTCGTGTAAAGGTAACCCATAGGACAAATGCTCGAGGACATCGGACTATTTTGATGGATATTACCACCAATCAAGTGCTTCGTTGTTTTTATTTTTGTTTTAATATCATTTTTATTTCAATCTTTTTTGTTATATACTTTTTATTTGACCTGAATTTTGCATCTATCATTGCATTTCATCGTACATTTATGAGTTTTATTTAAGTAAATGTCTTGTTTAACAAAATTATGTATTCCAAATGTTACAGCAAGTGTCCAGCTGACACTAGAAACTCATAGACCCGCGTCTGGAATTGGCACCGAGGGAACCCTACAAATGAAGTTCGAAAACAATAATTTCACCATTTGTGACAGTGGTTTTGACAGTTCAGACGCCGAAGCAGTGTGCAGGAGTCTCGGATACTGGTAAAACCTAGTCCTATATATATCAATATATTTACATTTGCATGGCATTGCCACTAAATAGCCTCTTTGAAAGCTGTGTCGTTGATGGGACTTTAATTACCATGCATCACGAGACAAAATTCTTAGCGTATTAATACAACACTGACCGGAGTTACAATATCCAATATAAATAAACATGACGGCTGCTGAAATATCGCTTGGCATTGTGAGATTTGACAATGTCATTGTAAATTTATGTGCAAAATAAAAAATAAAATAAAAAAACACTTTTATTACAACGAAAACAAGACCAAGGTCTGCAATATCGTACAAAATGCACATCGGTTGAAATCACCAATGCCGGCAATGGGAACAATTTTAACGCTCATGCAATTTATCAGAAATATCGTGTGTTACACTGCACTGGTCAACAGGGGTTCGTTACAAATGTCTGAAATATACATCATATTCTATAGACCTACTGACACATATGTTACAGACCTACTGATATGAGTCACAGCACACATAAACATTTCAGACATTTGTAACGAACCTGTGCTCCTTCACAAGATCACTCACTTCAAACGCTATCAGTTTCACGCGTCTCGCATCTACGGTTCCTCAGTTTAATTCTGTCGACAGGTCAAATAACGAGGCTGTTATAGAATCTACCGACTGTTGTCAGGTTCCCATACAATCAACGAATACATTCACGCCTGGATTCTTCACAAAATGAGCAAAGAGAAAAGTTCGAATAAACTTCCAAAAATAACTCCCTCGTCGAGGGCAAGGTCGGATTTACGGTGTTCACTGTATTTGTCCATGCGCGAAATTTGTTCCGGGGGAAAATCGAAACAATTTAAAATCTAACTTTAAGCTCAGAGTTCTATTGATAAACTTAAATCACCCTATATACATAGCATACGCAATTGTATTGGTACTGAATTGTGGAAGAAAATTGAAGTGTTTGTTAAAATTTCAAAGTACTACTTTGTTTGCCAATCAGCACGCGACAATACGCTGTTCAAACTATTGAACGAAATCTTGTGGATTGTCGATAAGGCGGGCATTTTTAATTTTAAATATAAATTATAAGTTAAAAATGAACATAAGAGGCAGAGAAAACGTAAATATAAGTATTGAACTGTTTTTGTATGGTATTTATGATCTGTTTGAATGACACTTGTTCTGATAGGAGCACATCACCAACCACATTTTATGACGCTTGGTTCGGCGAAGGAACGGGAACAGCACTCAGGATAAGTCCCGTCTGCTCCGGACATGAAGCTGATTTAACGTTCTGTCAAGCAAAAACCCTGTGGGCAACTCAGAATTGTAGCCATGTTCACGATGTTGGAGTAAGTTGTGCTCCGACCTCACTAGGTAAGATATTGACAAATTATTGTAAAGCTAAAACCATTTAAATTCTCAAGAAATTGGATATCAAACTAAAGTTAGGCGAGCTATTGATATGCAACAGTATTACATTAATAGGACGGAACCATGTTCGTCTGACTGGAGGTGATAGTCCCGGGGTAGGGCGTTTGGAGGTGTTTTATAATGGACACTGGGGCGCGTTCTGTTGGAAACATTGGGACCAGAGTAACGCAGTAACTGTGTGTAGGAATCTCCAATACAGGTAGGCTACGTCGAAGGTTTAGTACTTGTACATGGATCTTTTGTGACGTCCTAATACAGCTGAAATCATGATTAATGTGCCAGTGGCCTGTTTTGTACGATACCATTTGGACGTCCTAGTGCAGTTAGGTTACTTTGGACATTCCCGTAAAGATAGGCTACATTAGACAATACAGGTAGGCTACGTCGGACGGTCTGGTTCAGGAGGAAGAGCACAAAGGATGTTCCAGTACAGGTAGCACAAAGGATGTTCCAGTACAGGTAGAGCACAAAGGATGTTCCAGTACAGGTAGAACACACAGGATGTTCCAGGAAAGGTAGAACACAAAGGATGTTCCAGTACAGGTAGAACACAAAGGATGTTCCAGTACAGGTAGAGCACAAAGGATGTTCCAGTACAGGTAGGGCACGAAGGATGTTCCAGTACAGGTAGAGCACACAGGATGTTCCAGTGCAGGTAGAACACAAAGGATGTTCCAGTGCAGGTAGAGCACAAAGGATGTTCCAGTACAGGTAGAACACAAAGGATGTTCCAGTACAGGTAGAACACAGGATGTTCCAGTACAGGTAGAGCACAAAGGATGTTCCATTACAGGTAGAACACAAAGGATGTTCCATTACAGGTAGAACACAAAGGATGTTCCAGTACAGGTAGAGCACAAAGGATGTTCCATTACAGGTAGAACACAAAGGATGTTCCAGTGCAGGTAGAACACAAAGGATGTTTCAGTACAGGTAGAGCACACAGGATGTTCCAGTGCAGGTAGAACACAAAGGATGTTCCAGTGCAGGTAGAGCACAAAGGATGTTCCAGTTCAGGTAGAACACAAAGGATGTTCCAGTACAGGTAGAACACAAAGAATGTTCCAGTGCAGGTAGAGCACAAAGGATGTTCCAGTACAGGTAGAACACAAAGGATGTTCCAGTATAGGTAGAATACAGGATGTTCCAGTACAGGTAGAGCACAAAGGATGTTCCAGTACAGGTAGAGCACAAAGGGTGTTCCAGTACAGGTAGAACAAGTACAGGTAGAGCACAAAGGCTGTTCCAGTACAGGTAGAACAGACAGGATGTTCCAGTACATGTAGAACGCAAAGGATGTTCCAGTACATGTAGAGCACAAAGGATGTTTCAGTACAGGTAGAGCACAAATGATGTTCCAGTACAGGTAGAGACCAAAGGATGTTCCAGTACAGGCAGAACACAAAGGATGTTCCTGTACAGGTAGAACACAAAGGAAGTTCCAGTACAGGTAGAACAAGTACAGGTAGAGCACAAAGAATGTTCCAGTAAAGGTAGAGCACAAAGGATGTTACAGTACAGGGAGAACACAAAGGATGTTCCGGTACAGGTAGAACACAAAGTATGTTCCAGTACAGGTAGAGCACGATGGATGTTCCAGTACAGGAATAGCACAAAGGATGTTCCAGTGCAGGAAGAGCACAAAGGATGTTCCCGTACAGGTAGAGCACAAAGGATAGGTAGAACACAAAGGAAGTTCCAGTACAGGTAGAACAAGTACAGGTAGAGCACAAAGGGTGTTCCAGTACAGGTAGAACAAAGGATGTTCCAGTACATGTAGCACACAGGATGTTCCTGTACAGGTAGAACACAAAGGAAGTTCCAGTACAGGTAGAGCACGATGGATGTTCCAGTACAGGAAGCACAAAGGATGTTCCAGTATAGGTAGAATCCAGGATGTTCCAGTACAGGCAGCACATAGGATGTTCCAGTACAGTAAGATCACACACGATGTTCCAGTACAGGTAGGGCACGAAGGATGTTCCAGTACAGGTGGAGCACAAAGGATGTTCCATTACAGGTAGAACACAAAGGAGGTTCCAGTACAGGTAGCACTAAGGATGTTCCAGTACAGGCAGAACACAAAGGATGTTCCATTACAGGTAGAACACAAAGGAAGTTCCAGTACAGGTAGAGCACGATGGATGTTCCAGTACAGGAAGAACACAAAGGATGTTCCAATACAGGTAGCACACAGGATGGTCCAGTACAGGTAGAGCACGATGGATGTTCCAGTACAGGAAGGGCACACAGGATGTTCCAGTGCAGGTAGAGCACAAAGGATGTTCCATTACAGGTAGAACACAAAGTATGTTCCAGTACAGGTAGCACCCAGGATGTTCCAGTACAGGCAGCACATAGGATGTTCCAGTACAGGTGGAGCACAAAGGATGTTCCATTACAGGTAGAACACAAAGTATGTTCCAGTACAGGTAGAGCACAAAGAATGTTCCAGTAAAGGTAGAGCACAAAGGATGTTTCAGTACAGGTAGAGCACAAAGAATGTTCCAGTGCAGGTAGAGCACAAAGTATGTTCCAGTACAGGTAGCACCCAGGATGTTCCAGTACAGGGAGAACACACAGGATGTTCCAGTATATGTAGAATACAGGATGTTCCAGTACAGGGAGCACACAAGATGTTCCAGTACAGGTAGGGCACGAAGGATGTTCCAGTACAGGGAGAGCACAAAGGATGTTCCCGTACAGGTAGAGCACAAAGAATGTTCCAGTAAAGGTAGAGCACAAAGGATGTTCCAGTACAGGTAGAACACCTTCGGCATTCCAACAAAAACAATTCCAATACTGGTGTGCTAAATTGAAAGACTATGAAAAAGTCTGCATCACATATTTTAGAGAGATAATCTATTTTCTCAAATATGTACGTAAATTATTGTTCAACAGTCGTAGTAAACATGTTTTATATATAGTTAGGAGTCTTTTTGATGGTTCATGATGTCATTTCTTTCCTTTTACGATTTTCTAAATCTCTTTGTCTTCTCGTATTGTTTTCAAATTCTGCTTTTGTTCTTGCGTGTTGAAGCTTTCCTATATATTTTCCTTTTTTAAAACCAAAACAATAGTCTTTTCATTTAGAAACATCTAAAATGCTATTATATCTTTACTTAGTACCGTTACTCCAAGATCGTTTCAAACACAACGAAATCAAACGTATATGACGGTGGGAAGACTAAGTTGCCATGGTTACGAGAATGACATTGGAATGTGTACCGCAGATTTGGACAAAAGCGGATGTGGTGAAATTGCCGTTGGAGTTGACTGTTCTGGTACGTTTGAATAAGTTCGAATCCTGCTGTTACATGTCAAAGTATGTTATAATCATGCACGACATTAAACAAATGCACGATATTAGATAAAACTACTATGATATTCTCTACATTGAATTGATGTGTAAGTGTTCATGAAATTAGAGTAAATTGTGAATGTAATGGTGTGAGGGAATATGAAAATGATAACATTTCTTTGTATATGCTGATTGTACATGCTACATATTAAAAAAATGATAAAAATATTAATATAACATATTTGCAGATGGTGTCAGTGTTCGTCTTGTTGAAGGAAGTTCAGAAATAAGTGGTCGCGTGCAAATCTCCAATGGAGGATTCGACGGGGCACTGTCCTTACATGGTTCGATCTTCGGGAACAATGAAGCCATAGTGCTCTGTAGATCCATGGGATATGGGTATAATCTCCATTATATTGTCAGTCAAGTTGTCATAAAGTCGTCGTTTATATCAAATGTTACTGTTTTAAAGATACAAGTACATCATTGCTCGGCACCATCCTCATCTTTTTAGCTCGTCGATTCGAAGAATATGGGGCTAATGTAGTCGTCCCAATTCACTCGGGTTTAAGTTTTTGTGCAAGTTTTTTCCAGACGGTGTTGGATCACCACACGCCATACACTGTTGTTTATTATAATGTAATTAAATTAGAGTTGGTAAAAGCTTTTAGGCAAGCTTCAGTCTAAAGATTTTGGGCAAGATATTTTTGTGCAGTGTTGGATCACCCCCACCAATAGGCTGTTGTCTGTTTTAAGGTTTAAGCATTTATATGGAGTGTAAACGATGTGCTCAACAATATTTGCATATTTTAGTGGCCCAAAACAGCTTAATTGGACTTGGTTAATTGTTTTGGGCAAGATTTTATGTGCAGTATTGGATCATAACCATCAATATGCTGTTGATTATTTCATGTTGTCTAGTCATCTCTTTTTTTTAATTGAGTATTTGTCTTTTTGTGTTCACAGAGATACTGCTCCACAGATTTTACATGGCACTCCTGGACGGACCGGTCGTTACAGTGTTGCTATGGAAGGGCTAAGGTGTGGCGGGTGGGAGGACCACATCAAACAGTGCTCCTCTACAGAGACTAGGAGCACGTCTGCTGACGTAGCCTATGTCAGCTGTTTCAGTTCGTATAGTAATACAATGTACAAAATGTATATGTGTTATACTGTAAATTAGGAGTTATCACATTGTTTCCTTTAACTGAACATCCCACTAGAACATTTTACTTTAGACATACGTGAAAAGACTTAAATACAAATATAACGAACATTAGTTAAATATACACAAACCAGGGTTGTTCACGAAACGTGTTTGGAAGACGTACCCCATTGGGCATTGAATATCACCAAGTGATAATTTAAAAAAAAATGTTCTCAGATGGTTAAAAAAAAGTGTTCTCAATGTTAATAATAAATATAAATAACATACAGGATACATGTATGCATCATTGTGACAAAACTTAGAAATATAGCATTCTGACGTGAAGGAGAACTTAATACTTTTTGTCTCATGCCAATTTTATGATTTCAGATTGCTCCAGTGTACTTATGGAAACTGCCGGTGAAATAGCTAGTCCAAACTACCCTAATGATTATACAGACAATACCGATTGTCTGTATATCATCAAACCACTAGATGACACCCACATATACAAATTAGATATCAAAGATTTGGTGATGGCTGATCCGGGAGATTCAGTTGAGGTAATCACTGATGACTGACATTGTGTTCAGTATTTTAGTTGTTAACTTGACCTAACCTTTGTGTTCATTTTAAATGAGACATAATAAGTTGCTTAGTGACCAAATTGAATGTTCATATTTCGGTGTCTCATGTTCCTTTTTCTCTGTATACTGTAGAGGATGTGGTAAATATTGTATCATATTGTCTTTCCCTCTCCTGAATTCACGAGTTTATACACTAGTAATTTATTCGTTTATATATTATTGATGTATTTCAAATGATAACATTTGTATTAAAAACATGCTAAAGTTTAATAACTGTTATATTTCCAATTATATGATTGTGCTTGAAATTACAACAATAACATATTTCAACAGATAAGAGAGAGTCCAAACGGACAAATTTTAGGACATTTCTCCTCTTCGGATCACCTGCCAATACTAGCGGGAAAGGCATTCTGGGTACGGTTTAGGACAAACACAAATGGCCATTCCACTGGGTTTCGCATGGCTTGGAGCGGTAGGTAGACTTATAATAAATATTTGCTGTATTACACAATCCTACATTTATCGCTATTCGGTTTTTTTCGTCTTGTTACATTGTTAAATGTTCACTCTTGTGTCTTCTCTTACATTGTATAAATGTTCGCTGCTAAGATACATGTTACATTGTATACATGTTCGCCGTTATGCCACTTGTAACATTGTATAAATATTCGCTGTTATAGTACTTGTAACATTGTATAAATGTTCGTTGTTATGGCACTTGTAACTTTGTATAAATGACCGCTACTATGCCACTTGTAACATTGTATAAATGTTCGCTAATAGGCCACATGTAACATTGTATAAATATTCGCTGTTATGCCACTTGTAACATTGTATAAATGTTCGCTGTTATGGCACTTGTAACATTGTATAAATGATCGTTGCTATGCCACTTGTAACATTGTATAAATAAATGTTCGCTAATATGCCACTTGTAACATTGTATAAATGTTCGCTGTTATGGCACTTGTAACATTGTATAAATGTTCGCTGTTATGGCACTTGTAACTTTGTATAAATGTCCGCTGCTATGCCACTTGTTACATTGTATACATGTTTGCTGTTATGCCACTTGTTACATTGTATACATATTTGCTGTTATGCAACTTGTAACATTGTATAAGTGTTCGCTGTTATGGCACTTGTAACATTGTATAAATATTCGCTGTTATGCCACTTGTTACATTGTATAAATCTTCGCTGTTATAGCACTTGTAACATTGTATAAGTGTTCGCTGTTATGGCACTTGTAACATTGTATAAATGTTCGCTGTTATGACACTTGTTACATTGTATAAATGTTTGCTGTTATGCCACTTGTTACATTGTATAAATGTTTGCTGTTATGCCACTTGTTACATTGTATAAATGTTTGCTGTTATGCCACTTGTAACATTGTATAAATGTTTGCTGTTATGCCACTTGTTACATTGTATAAATGTTCGCTGCTTTGCCACTTGTTACATTGTTTAAATGTTTGCTGCTATGCCACCTGTTACATTGTTTAGATCGTGTCAACTGTTTTATTGAGTACATATTCGCAGTTGTACAGCGTACAACAGTACACAATACAGCATGAAAGGTTGTATAAACAAAATCTGTAGTTAAACATGTTTATTATAGTGTCTTATATCAATACACTGCCACATATAACACATATACCATTATATAAATGTTCACGTCAGAGCTGACCTATGATGACATTGTGACGACTTCCTGTATCGGGGACGATTGGACCATACACGTGAATATCACACTGGCTCTGCTGCTTCGCTCCGACATCACTGTATCCAGTATCACTCTGGCCAACTCCAGCACGTGCAAGGGACACGTTGTCGGTGATGAGTTGGTCTTATCCAAGACATTTCCGGGTTGTAGTACAGTCAACGTAAGCAATATATTTATGATGCAAATTTAAATAAACCTCACTCGTCTTTTCTGCAAATCACCGCTTTGGTCGTATTATCAAATTGTTGTTCGGAATTAAACACATTATGATACCCTCACGTATTTAAATACAGATGTTACGAATATATATATGGTGTTATTCAATGAGATTTAACTGCTTTCCAGTTGTTGTTTTTTCCCGAAGTTTTACAGGCTCTATTTGTTTTCATGAACAGTAGTCCTTTGATTTAAAAAAAAATAAAAAATAAAATACATTTTGTTTATAATTTGTTTTTGATGACATACCTTTTAGTAAATAAAGCTAAGGGTCTCTTAAATTCTTGATCTCTCATTTATATCACCAGCTTTTTCGTCCAGCTAGTGACAATTGGAAAGCTCCATTAATCTCCTATTTCACAATGCATTGTCTTTATTTTCAGATGGACAAAGGAGCTGACCTAATATTAACACCCGACTTGTTATCTAGAACATTCGTATCGCCCCACTGTGGAACAAGTCACAAATAGGTGTGGTTAGATTCACGATGGACATGCCACGTTCACTTGACGTCATTTAAGACAAATAACGATTACCTGTCATTGTTCTCTCAGTAGCAAAAGGACATATATAGATCACATTGTTTGGCGGGAAGTAACTTGATATTAACTTCATTATTAGAGAGTTCCGCGTCATTAAGATAGTATACCCGTATTTCATCGCAACCTATTAGTTTAACTGTTGTTGCTGATATAATTCAGTCAATAAAATAACAGCAAAAACAGAAAATTGCAGTCATTGTTTTTTTTCTTTTTCTCTCTCATCATATAGCCTATAGTAGATAACGATTAAAAGTATCCATGCTCTGCGTTAAAGTTTTATCCCTATACAAGCATTGTGTTTGTCCTAGACTCGATTATTACCGGAACATGGACGTATATCAATCAATCAATCAATCTATCTATCCATTCATCAATCAATCAGTCGAACTTTCATTCCGAATCTCTCGAATGGCACGTTCTAAGTTGTTAAACGTGCTCTGCGTCATTATCATTAGGCATTAACTTCATTTTAGGTAGATTGGCGTTTCTTTGAAACTCATTAATATTTATTTTCGGCACATCGCTGATGTTCTTTGTCTTCATTGGTGCGAATTTCTATTGCTATCACAATGTTTGACTCACGATAATTCGCTTTATTCGAAAACTCAGCATTTTGTTTTCATCCGATTGTGGTTTGCATTTGAATCGTGGCACTAAGTTTGCTTTCATCTTTCGCTTTAATTCCCATTTAATTATAATGTTTTGCTTTTTATCATCAATGACGGTAACTGTACAGGCATCGCAATCTTTTTTTTTTTTTTTTTTTATATATAAAAACGATTTTTTTATAAACCATCAGTCGCCGAATGTTTTCTCACTTTTTGTGTGTTCCTTTGATCCAATATGCTCAAGTATACTTCGTCTCCTGTTCTCGTATTCAAGTCTTACGGTTAATATGAAAAAAAACTCATAATTCTTTGAACTCGAAACTTGTGAACCAAGGACTGTTGTTCCCGATAAGCAGGTCCATTATTACATAGCGTGCTTTATTTTCCTTTCGTGTGTTTTGTGATTACAATTTGCACTGAGGACAAAAACATACCGTTGCTTATAGGTAACTTACAATCAAAATCGTTACGGCGTCAACAAGCTGTGTTAAAAAAGAACACGCCTACAGCCCGAACGGTTGTTTCAGCGTGTCACTCACTGTATCTGGCTCGTCGATTGGTTGATAGAAAGTTTGAGGTCGGTGTCGTCCTTGTAATCAAAAGCACTGTACAACATTGTATCTTTTTCGGAGACTTGTTGTTTGCGCGCATTGTCAACTTACGATTACGCATACTCGTATATGGAAATGTAAAATTTGCATTGCATGTACATGTGTCAAACCATGTGTCATGACTTGCATGTTACGTTGCATGTGTACTTGTCCACATTTTCGTGAACTATAATGGTATTTATGATTACAAGAGGGCAAAATGAAGATTATTACACATGCTTGAAAGCTGTCCATACCGGCCGCTGCACTGAGAAGTAATATCATAGAACGGTGCAAGATTCGACAACTCATTCAGTTAAATAACTTTCATACCTGCTTAAGTATATTTGTAAATTATATGATAACAATGATGTGCACGAAAACGATAACATTTTATTTTATAATAAAAGTAAGTGTGCAATCGGCCCAAGAAACTGTCATTCAATGCAAAGAAGTACTTTTTATGTATACAGTTTTATTTGAGAATATTGTCTTGACAATTAAACTGTATTAAGCTTGAACAATTTAAAGGTAAGAATAATTACGAAAACAAGACTTTCCTGATTTACGTACCGTGCGACGCTATTTATTTGGGTATCATTTTCAAAAGTCTATTTTATCAAAACTAATGAGAGTTTGGAGAAGAAATTTAATCAGAACCCTCGTTGACTCTAAAATATTTCAACTATGCATATTTTCTGCCGATATTGATCGTTTATACCCAAATATTCTCCAAAATACCGGAAGTGTCCCTTCCAGGTTACAGTAACGCCGGTTCAACGGACTAAGTAACTCTGATGGTATTTCGCGTTCTTTTTATAGAACCACGCGCCCGAATTATCAAATTGTGATAAAAATGTAAAGTGGATAGTATCTTTTTAAGTAAAATGAACAAACATTTTTAGAACTGATAGTATAGTATTAAATTAAGAACATTGATATTTAACTAAAAAGTGTCCCGATTTGGGTACAGTGACGTTAGATAACCTGTGTGCCGATAGTACATTGTGTACCCACGAATGTCAGCTGCAGTGTTATTTTCGATGGAGCGTATCCATGGAGATAATTCCCCGGAAAATTATACCTAATTGTTTTCGTTTTATTAAGTGTTTATTCACTATTGAATAAATATTGCAAATTACAATTGAAACTGTTTAGTTTTTATCAAGACATGACATACTTATACCGGCAAATATATGCTGCCGGTATCAAAAAATTCATGCATTTTTTGCATATTCTTACAATTTCGTTCCGTTGTATATGTTGTGAATACATATACGCACCCACAGGGACTTGACACATTCCTTTGACCCAGAATGAAAGGGATTTTTTTTCTTTTCATTCTTGGTCATAGGAACGTGTCAAGTCCCTGTGTACGCAATAGCATATGGTTATGCTCAACGAAACAGTCTAATATGTCAATTAATTGATATAGATATATATGTATGTGGCTTGAAACATTTACAAATATATTCAACACGTATACATGTGCATGTAAACGTTGCATCTTGCACCGTTCTATGATATTACCTTTCAGTGCAGCGGCCGGTATGGGCAGCTTTCAAGCATTTCTAATGTTCTTCATTTTGCCCTCTTGTAATCATAAATACCATTATAGTTCACGAAAATGTGTACATATTAAACAAATAATTCAAGTCATGAGACATGGCTTGAAACATGTACATGCAATGTAAATTTTACATTTCTATATACGTGTATGCGTAATCGTAAGTTCACAAAGCGCGCAAACAACAAGTCTCCGAAAAAGATACAATGTTGTACACTGCTTTTGATTACAAGGACGACACCGACCTCAAACGTTCTATCGACCAATCGACGAGCCAGATACAGTGAGTGACACGCTGAAACAACCGTTCGGTTTGTAGGCGTGTTCTTTTTGAACACGACTTGTTGACGCCGTAACGATTTTGATTGTATGTAATTTAGATTTCCAATACCTTTCTAAGTTTGAGGCTTAATACAAACAACTTACACCGAGAACAGTTAAGCAACTTTGATATATTTAAGCTCGGACAAATAACTGACGGAACTTAAAAAACGGGCACTCGCGTGGATTTTAGTAGAGACATTCATAACTAGATCATCATCCACATTGCAGAAAAATACTTTTCAGTCAAACGCCCTGGGAAAACCCCAGATGAAAGCTATTTTCCCTTATACTGATTTCCCAATCTTCTCGTAGATGTACATTGAACTACATGTACAAGTCAACATCATGTTAATTTTCTTTCAAATCACATTTCACTTTCTTGGAAACCGAACTAAATAAGCATGCTTCCTGAAGGAATATATAGCATGGACAATGTCATTTGGTACTCATGAACGTTTAAGCTTACAAATGTAAGGAGGATGGACGACACATCACTTGTAATTATTTCGAATTACTAAAGATTATAGAAAGATCATGTTGATACCTAAAGAGTCATCAGTAGAGACAGTCTTAGTTCCTCATCGTTTCGTCGATTATATAACCGGTGATTGATTAATAAATGCGGAATATAGACTTTAAAAAAAACAGTCAAACGTGTCAGAACATGGTAGCTGGAACGTTACAGACGTTTTCAAAGAACAAAAATCTACCAAAGATAATAATAACCACCAATCTCGGAAAATTCGTTCCGACCCTGCTGTGTAGTAGAGCAATGTCTTTCAATTACAACCATTAACCTATTTCAAACTTTCTGGAGAGCAAATATTTTAGTACAGTAAAATTTTCATTGTAAACTTACGAGCTTTTTTTTTTACCTTGTGTATTTATTGACCAACTATGAGAGGTTGAAAATTGTTGTAAAAAACTTATGAAGCCAATCACCTTTAGAAATCAACTGGGACCATGGCCAGGTCGTGTGTCAAAACTGGTCCCGAAACTCTTACCCTTTCTGGTCCAAGTTTCACAGGCGTTCTTTAACTTAAGGACATTCCTTGACATCTTTTTTCCCAATCAGAAAGCATTTCTGAAGTTAAAAAGAAATATCTGTGGCTAAGGAAAGTCTTCTTAATTTCAGCAATGTTTTCTTTGGGAAGAGTGTTTATAAGTTAACGGGACGTTCGCTGAATTTTGGCCCAAGCACATGTTCTGCCTCAGCCAATTTGCTGGGTTAAGGATGTCCTTCATTTTGTTTTAGTGATCTAACGGTTTCAGCAAGCTTCTATTGTTGCTTTTCATATTTACTCAGAGTTTTGGGTTTTTTCTCGTGTATTGAAGCTGTGGTGCATTGTTTTTCTTTATCTATATTTCGTATTTGCAAAAAATCACAACATTTGACAAATCTTCCATTTTTACTTATTTTATTCAAGCTTCATTTCAGCTGTCTTGAGATTTAAGTAGGACACAACATCAATAATACAGAAAATAAACAGAAATAAATTATAAAAATCTTTAAAATAAATCACTAATCATTTTACATAAAGTTTAAAAGTAAAACACTGTAGTTGTAATCCTTTAGACATCCCTAAAACTAAAATGTTGGTGGTGAAAATAAAAACAACACAAATTATACTGCAGGGTGCATATTTCTGCTAGGTGTTTCGAGGATCCTGCTCACAGCACAATTCAATTTTTGTGAGCTCTGAGACTGACAAATTAGCAAGATAGAGCATTAAATTTTACCTACTTCACATATATTCGAAACTGAGACTGATAAATTGACATTCTAAACAGCCAATTTTATGTATTTGGGAAATTATCATTTGCAATTGAAACAATGTATAATAAACATACCTTAAATATCAAATTACTGTTTAACAGTTAATCTAGGTCACAAGTAAACAATGAGACATTTGTTATAATTTTGGGACTCATTTGGTCTTAATTAGCTTCAAGACTTTTTCTATTTGAGACAATTTCATTTTCACACCAATAAAGAAAAGATAAAAAAATGTATTTGCTCTGGTCATTAAAAAGAATTAGTGGACTGAATATCAAATTTCAGTGAACACTGATCTAGAAGATGGAGGTGTGCCCTAGATATGAATACCTAGTTTTCATCTGTTTACAGGTTTTTATGCATAATAGAAAGGCCAGAATAATCTGTTCTTCATTAATTTTTTCTACTTTATTGCATTTCAGATGATTAAATTCACCACTTACATATTCATTTTTTGAAAATCCCACACAGTTTCATTACCATTTTAAAATGATTTTTATTTCATGTTAATTTCCATTTTATTAAATGTTAGTTTGACAATTAAAATCAATCATAATGATAAAAAGTTCAATTGAAAATGAAATAAGAGTGCAAAACCATTTATGGTCACTTTGAAAAATTTTAGAGTGGTGGGGATTAGGTTTTGAAATATGCTTCATTTAACCCTTTCACCCCTATGTAACTTTAGTAGACTCTACCATACATTAATCTGGATGAGTCCATTATGGTCTACAGTGGTGAAAGGGTTAAGTGTTGAGCTCCAGATCACCACAAATTGCACTTCTCCACATTCATGTTTAGATCTAATGACTACTCAGATCAGTTCTACCTATTTTCACCTCTTTGTAAAACAATCTGGTTTTACCATTTATAAACGTGTATGCTAAAGGTCCCATATTACATTTATTCCATTCAAATATTTGTTTTCAACTACAAAAATTATAACCTTGCTATTTGTGTTTTAAAGGTCTTTGTGCAAGAAAGTTTCTGATTGGTTAAAACTCACCAATCAGGAGGCATGTAACATTTGTGTTTAGGCGTTTGTAAATGTAATCTGATGTCAACTACATCATTCATCCTACAATATCATCAAACAAGACATATATCATACATATTTTGTATATGAATATCATACATGATTTTATCTATATATTAAAGTACATATAAGTTATGACAGGAAGCTGAATAACAGTTGTATAAAACCCACTCTGTGGATATGTATATATATTACTAATCAAATTCCTCTACAGATATCCGATGATGCAACACTCTCTTTTACATAAACGACATCAAAGTCATATCTTGTCTTCAACTCTTTTTTCGTTAAATCTGTATAAACATTTAAACTTTCTTTTTTTTAATGAACTTTTGTATTTTCCTGGTACTAAAGTAATTACAATTTTTAAGAATATTTTAAGAAATCTGTTGTCCTTTTCAATACAATTGTTCTGTAAATGTCATATGTAGACTGTTTAGGGGAAAATTTTGTAACGCTGACCTAACCTTAACGTACATAAACATTATTTCTTATCACAATAATCTAGAAATTGGAAAACAAAAATATGTAAAAATAAGGTAATGAATAATAATAATAATTAATGAATAAAGTCTGTCCAAAGTAAACAAAATTTCATACAATTATATAAGAGTTTTATATACACAAAGTCACAAACCGACATTAAAGGGGATTAAATAAGTGATAAAATAAGTCACAACATTTTATAGATCTATATTACATCTACTGAATTCTACAATTTACAAAAATATGTGATTTGTTCAGTAAATATAACAGTCGCACACCCCTCCCAAACTGACATATTCCCCGTTGATGCGGGCAGACAGCTCCACCTGTTGTCAGAGTGGTAGGGTGAATCATTCCAAATTCTATACAAGGCTGAGCACAGCAGTAGAAGGCATGTGAAGAGTATATATGGGGAAACATTCACTTATATTCACCTGTGTTGTACATTCTCAGTGAAAATGATACAATATTTGAACTAACTGTCATGTTTAATTTAGCAGTGACAGTTGAACTGTAAGACCAACCCTCACTGAAATCAATGTTAAACTGGGGATCAGAAGCTAGATCAGGAACTCGTTATTAACATGTTATTAACATTTCATATACATTCAAGTATTGTCGTCATTTTAATGAAAATAAAGAATGTCCTGCTCTGTCTTCATACATATGTCATATACATGTGTATAAAAAATTAATGACATACCAGCAAAGCGAAGCAAACCAGAGCAGCAAGCTAAAATACTACAGGTAAATGTACTGCTCAGCAATCCATTGGCTGATAATTAATTTTCTGAAGAATTTCGAACTTAGAAAAACCATCAACGAGACTGGTGTAAAAGGTTTGACGAGCAGGGCTGAGAGGATGATTCTACCTCAAACAAACACATTAATTATTTAGCCTACATAAAAAGTATCATCACTTGGCTAGCAAGGACATAAAAAGGCTATCGTCACTTTAGATAGCGAGTAAAATCATTATTATCAGAACTAGTAAAGATAGCAAAAACTTATAAACTTAGTTCATCATTATGTTCAAAAGGTGTTTTTTGGAGGGAGAATATTTTTTCAAGTGCCCAATTCAAATGCTAAAAATATATATATTACCCATTTTTGGACAAAAACATAATCGTAAATGATACTAAACATAGATAAAAGTTCTCAAACAAGTCACAATAAAACATATCAAACACACTAGTTCTTGTTTAAAAGGGTATTTTATGAAAAGAGAGATAAAGCAAAACTGCATAACTCACTAGTTCCCAAATATCTGGAAATAATTCGTGTGAGGTATTGATTTTGTTAAAATGAATGTCCAACTTCAGAATACACATAGATTTGCCTGGTTTATGTACCAACCGAGTTGAAAACCAGTAGATTTTCAGTCTCCAAAACCCCCCACAAAAGGGATAAAAAAGCAATATGATATAATTATATTGGTCTTAATGTTCCAACAAGGATTAGTATAAAATAGAAATTATTATTTGTTTGAGGAAGCTAAATGTCTGCAGCTATCCACATAGTAGTGTACATATAGTTCATGCATGAAAAGCTGTCTCTACTAAGCAGATTTCACATGGCTTTCAATGATGATCTGTATTTCATAACATGCATAATTAGCAGAATAAAGGATGAAACATTTAACCCTTTCACCCCTATGAAACTTTAATAGACTATCACATGCATTGATCTGGATGAGTCAATTATGGTCTACAGTGGTGAAAGGGTTAAGACATATTATGATTAATAGTGAACACAGTTTGCTGGTAATCCCTACAGGGCAAGAGAATAAAGAAAAATTGTCTGCTGAAGGAGGGGAGGATGAAGAAATGTTATCAACACTGTTTTAAATGTTATTTTACCAAACCCAATAACTGCTTTTAGATATGACATTCTGTAGGCAACACAAGTTACTGTTAATAGAACAAAAAGTATCGCTGTCAACCAAGTAAAACTGACGATGTAAACTTAAAGAGGATATAGCAAATGATATTATTTTGTGATTTAGCATGTTCATTCCATGGTATTGAATCTTTACATTTAATGTCGCCACACACATAAATGAAAAAAATAGATCATGGCGAAAGTCTCGAGTTCAACGAAGTTTACAGAAAGACCAGCTGTTGTTTGTACTGGTTCCGAAATAACCAATTCTACTGACATGTTGAACCGTTACGAAAAAGTATTCCATGACTCAACCCAAAGAAATAGGAGTTCCAATGAAAAAATCTATCTTCTAAAACAATTCTTAACATAATCTGTTACCTCTTTTACTCACAGGTCTCTGTCACTAAGAATGATTTAAATTAGTTCAGTGGTTTATCCCCAGTAAGGATGGACTGTATCTTGGAGGGTTTCTTTTGCTTTTATTATTGTAAATATCTAGCCTGACAAAAACCTGAAATTTACAAAATATAGTTCAGTATCTGTACATCCGAATTAACCTCAGATCATTGTGGTCCCAATTCACATGATTTTCAAAGACATGAAGAATATGATATCTGATAGAAATCTGTGAAAACTTTAATTGGTCCTTGATTTAATTGTTGGTAGATGAGAACGTAATAAAAAAGTTAAGGTGCTACTACGTACCAATTCCACATTCTTCTATAGAATAGCTGATGTAAACAACCTCCTATCTCCCTAAGGGTGTAAGGTACCTATGATTTGTGTTAGAGTTATCTTCCTTTAAACTTTTTTTTTTTTTTTTTTATCCAACACCTCAATCGTGGCTTAGTAACATCAAGACAAGTATCTTTGTATACCTTTCAACTGTGTCACCGATTGATTTACCAGAGTCATAAAGATGCTTGATAGATTACTCTTTTGGAAAACACAGCTATAATTGATTCTTAATCATATCTCGTCAAACCATTGTAAAGTTGAATTTTAAAGGTAACCTCTATAGTTACCTACTTCAAAGCAGCAGGACATTTCTTTTTAAAATAATTTTAAGTCAAATTGTTATGTTAGAGTCTATTTGTAAATACTCATCATTTCACAAATACATGTTTACAAAACTGTTGTTGTTGTTTTTCTTATTTAACTATAGCACATTCTTCACAAATAACCTAACATAGTGTTTTCTGCTGTTTTGAGAATGTGAATTTCCAAAAAAATATTTTGATGAAAATGAAATTTAGCAGCACATGGATGATAATCCTGAAGTTCACTCCTTTGCATTTGTAAATAGTAGGTGCATCGAGGTAAGATACATGTACCTGATCAATAATCATAAAACTTTTAGGATACCACACTGATAGAGGAAGTGCAATACTAGCTGTAAGACTGTGGAAGTGGGGCCTTATGAGATTGGAGACAACATTGATCTATCTCACTGTGGGGCCCCCCGTGCCCTGACACACTACATCAATGATCCACGTCTGTTCCACGACACACTGTCCACAATGATCCACCTGTTTCCCATTCGTATAACTAGAAGAACTACTTTGCTTGAATTTAGCTGTATAACATTTAAGTAATGAATAAATAATATTTAGCTGTAGAGCATCACAGTACTGACTTTAGCTATATACCATCACAATAACAACCTCACTAACCTATATTCCCATTCTCATTGCACAAGCCTAATATTAAGATATTAAATATTGCATTCACAGCACTATGAATTCGATGGAGATTAACCTTTGGGTTATAGGGACATGAGCTATTTACCGGGCACCCACCCTTTGCACGGAAAGTTTGGAAAAGTGGGGGGTGGGCTTATTACCAGGCATAGGCTTTTCACCAGTAAAATACAGTAATTACAACGTTATGCTATACCTATGTAAATCATATGTAAATCTATAGGGAACCATTGTCTGGTATCTGTCAGGGTACGTTCTTGTCACCGAATAAACATGCACCATGTCATCAATCATTTTTACGAGACAATCTTGATCATGGTCATCTTTATCTTTCCTTTGATATATGAAAAATAAATTACATGTTTAATGGCTTAAAACCGTCTTAACCAATTGCAAAAGGTTTTTTTCATAAGCAAATTTAAAGGTACAACAATTGAAGATGTGTAGCTGTACTTAGGGTGTCATTGTATACAGGTTGTCCTTATCGACAGGGATTCATTGTGAACAGTGTGTCGAGGTACATGAAAGTTATAGCCTAACATATCTCAATCCAAAACAAAACGAAAAACCAAACAAATCAGTTCAGCATTGAGATTATGGTCACAGCGGATGATTAGGACTAATGATGATAAAACAAGTTTGATTTAGGAAGGAATGTGGTAACTAGACCTCAACATTAGGTTCACAAACTAATGATATATTGGCTGTCTACTTTGTCATGTAACAATTCTAGACTTTACCACATTCTAGGTGTCATTTTCTATTATGGTTGCCACAAATTGTATAAGCACCAGTATCGAAGCCAGTACTATATATGCAGAAAATATTGATCTATATGGCTAATGAAATAAAAAAAATGGTAAAAACTTTCCAACAACAAACTAATTGTCTTTTCACAATGGCTTACCATAAGGTGTGAACATAAGGTGTGATCATAAGGTGTGATCAGTGAATGCTTCCTATTGGAGATTTTCATTCAAGCAAACATCAAACATAGATAAGTCTCCTATCAATATCTGACACATCATGTTGACTCTAAGGAGATATCTGAGGAACATTTTGTAGGTAAATAAAAATAGATTAAACCCTTTCATCCCTAGGTAACTTGAGTAGACTCTACCATACATTCATTTGGATGAGTCCATTATGATCTATAGTGGTGAAAGGGTTAACCTGTAACCCTGCTGCTATGTAACAGAAAACCAGATAAAGGGAGATAACTGTAGCTGCATCTGATCATTAACTTTGAAAGTTCCACTTTTCCCACCTTAATAGAGATGGATTCAGGGTGGTTCACAACACCGCCACTTCCTCCCAAGGAAAAAAAGTTAATATAAACTAGATCCACTACTTCTACCAGAATAGAAATGACTATACCCCAAGCAGACAACAATAGGGAAAGAATGAAATTTGAAATTATAACTTTAAGTATAAATCTTGACAAAATCTCGGGAAATGAAACTTCTAGTGATTTTCTTCTTGTTTTTCCACAAGTGGTCATGAAAATCAACCATTTTGTGTGTGATTCTAAATGAAAGTAAACACTATCAAGTCTTACTGTGAACATTAATTGCATAATTTCAAATCCTTCTTTTATCAAATGTTGTCCTCAAAACCATGTAAATGTTAAGCGCAAACACCTGCTGCTTACAAAAATTTGATAACTTTTTGTATGAAAACAAAACACACAACAACATGTCGAAAATGACACAGGCATGAGTCGACGATTTTTAAGGCTGAATTGTTCATCTCCAGCAATGAGTAAATATATATAATAATTGTTCATGAAAAACATGCAGTATATATATGGCCTTTATAGATTTACCAACACAACAAGAAACCAATTTAACATAAAAGATATGTATCAAAATTTTGAGAGAAAAATTTAAATGAATAATGAAGATTTGTGTATGATTATATTACAAAATGTCATAGATTAAATATACAATGTGTAAATAAATGTTTTATATGGTAATTGTATTACATATGGTATATGACTGAAATTTGTAATTTCTGATATGTCTACAAGTTACAATGGGCTTAAAAGGCCATTGTTTCATAATATGACAAGAATATTTTAAAAATATGTAAATTTTGTAAATACGAGTCGAAGATTAAAACAGATCAATAAGACAATCAGAACTGGTCATTTAGAAACAGTTCTACATGTATAAATGTAATTAATTTCTAAGATATTTCTTGGCATGAGAAAAAAATCCCCGTCAATTATGTTAATTGAAGTTAATAAATCAAAATTTAATCTATTTTTGTTTTTGTTTGCATAAGATCAAATAAATTTTCCAAAAAATCTTAAATCGTCTCACATCATTGTAAAAGTTCTGCTTATTCCTAAAATATTTTCATAAAACTGTTTGACCAGTTAATGGGCTACAGCTGTAATCTCCAATCAATGACATAATATTATCTACAGATTATAATCAAATCTTAACCTTATCGAAATGAAGAAAAAGTTCCCTTACACCAACGTACACAAATAGTCCATTACCCTTAGCCATCTAGCCCACACTGAGACTTCCCCAGTCCTGGCACTGCTATAATTCTATTGATATACAGTGTTAGTATTACAGGGTATAGGCAACGAGGAAACGGTACAGATTTCATAAGCTTCACCATATCATGCCAGCATAAGGAATCTGATCAATATTTTAAAGAAATTACTTTTAAATGCCGAGTATTTCTGTTACAGGATACGTGTATTCATATTTTAATGGTAGAAGAAAAGTTATCTACATCCAGTTTACCCTGCTTCAGTTTCAAACCTACGCCGATTTACAGAATTAAATGCAAAGTACCCCGTAATGTTGTTGTTAAATTACTACTTCAATGAGAACTGAAGTTGTAGGTATTGTATCGATATTAAGTAATGCCACCATCGAAATCTCAGTGCAGGTTACAAGTATGTCATGTGCTCCACAGCGATCGTATGTACAATGAGTCTACGATTTAAATATGGATTGTACTCGGTGTGAAATGTAATCTCTTACTGGTTCAACGAACTTCATCTGCTGCTTCAGCTGTTTGGCGATTGGATGGTTGATGTTGGAGTTGTAGATCACTATGGCGACAATGGCCAGAGTCAACACAATAAACACGAGCGTAAACATGAACATGGCACAGCAGGACGGACCTGATTTTTTGGGGACAACAGGGCTGTCCGGAGTAGCCTGGCTGTGATTGGTCAATGACGAGTCGACAGCTTGACTTGATGGTGGTGCAGATCCAACCTTGTTATTCATTTGTGGCTCTACAGTCTCTGTAAGGACAGGACCAGACACCTCTGCTTCAACATGGTTGTTGGTCTTTGAGAAACTATCCTTCCTTAAGATTTCCTCCTCGAGAGATCTAATCTGTTCGTCAAGACTCATCTTGGGAGCAGAATCTTCCTCCTCTTGCTGGTCGACCTCATCCTTATCTTTCCTGTCCTCTATAATCTCATCCTCAATAAGGCTGAGATTTGGTTCGTAGATCGGGAGCTCATCCTCGGCTGCCTCGGGGCTGACTAGCGATGGAATCACGCCGTTGACTTTCACTGGGGACTGCTGTACTGTTGCCTGTACGGCTTCTATCGTCTCCACAATAGTCACGTCTTCTTCCACGGCGACGGGTGCCTTGACGATGGGGCTGATCGGAATAGTCTCCACATTGGTATCCAATCCTTCCACGTCTACAGCAGACTCTGGAAATAACAAAAGGACAAAAAATTAACAATGGAGCCCACTGTCGATCTAGCATGTCCTACAAAATTAGTTCTGACAGAATGCTGATACTGAAACTGGGAAATTTTTCACCCAGTGAAACTATCATCATCCACTAGTAAAATCCATATCATCTTTTGTCTTTCACAGTAGCAGAACAGTGCATAGTAGCTGTGTATCTGTATTTGTAATCATTATCAATTTGCCTTCATTAAAAGGGAACATTTCTGATACTGAATGGTAATGAGGTAAATAGATGAACTCTATCTTCCATATGTGGAGCTCTTTGACATTGAAGGTGCATTTTTTCAATAATGTATTTTCATAGTCAGATGAAAAGTGTCCTGAACAGATCTTAAATCAAAATGTTCTTTGTATATCTTTTAATTTTGAACAAATTTATCACAAGACTGCAGTGTTATATATGGTGTAAATACAAACATCGTAATTTTTGCAAATACCTCACGTTATGACACCAATCAGATGTCAGAATTAAGACATGATATTACAGTATCACATTTAACATAAGACATGAAGTCAAAATGGTGACATTTAAGATCTGATAATGGTCTGATTATTTTTTTTAGTATCTGTAATTCATTTTTGGTAAAATGATCAAATGGATCTTGAATTTGTTTCCATTTAACTATAGGCACAGCCTCCCTAAAATGAAAGCTATCAATACTTGTTTCAACAATCTCATATGAAAAGGAAACTCAACTGGTTCATCAATGTTACGATCAATTTACGAAATATCACCTAAGGTGATGTAATATTTCCATTTTTCAATAAAGCCATTTTTTTCAATGTTAAGATATTTGGCATCTACAAATACTAATAAGGAAGGCTCAGCTCTTGTGCTGCAGTCTATCAGTACAGTGTACATCCAGACAGTTTGTTACAATGCAAAAAGCTGCAACAAAAAAACCCTGCATTAGTATAGTTCTAAACTTCTGGCTGAATGCAAAAACAAACGAACCATTCCATCTGCAATGAACAGGTCTATATTCTCTACGGTAATTGGCCTGGTATTTCAAATTTTACCTGTCTTGGATTGGTCTTCTATCACATAATTTACCAGTCAGGGAGGGGTTTTAATCATTTATCCAATGTAAAATACAGATTTTTTTTTAATATTATGAGTTTGGAAGGAGTGAGTAAGGAAGGAGCGAATAAGGGAAGGGTAATTCGGTACTTGGGCAGCATCTTTCTAAACTGATGGTACTTTACTTTGAAATATAGAAAAAATCTTCAATTTACACATTAACTTATGTTGGTAATCAGGTATGTAGGGTTTAATTACCCTTTTGTTCTTACTAAATATTTTAGGAATGGTTCGATATATTTCCATAGTCACCAGTAATTGAGGCATTGTGAGTTTTGTGAGTACTTAAAACTTTACAGGTAGTTCTCTAAAGGTTGATCCAACAAGTTATATACCAGGTAATATGTACATCAAAAATCGTCAAATGGAGAAATCGCATAATATCGCCATCACCAATGGGGGGATCGGAATTGCAATCTACACTTGCAGGAAATAAGAAACAGCTGAACACCAGAGATAAAGAAAGTCGAGATGGTAGCTGATATAGACATCAATATATATATATATATCAGGTACATGTTAAAAGATAGTATCATCATCAACAAAAAGCAGCTTTTTTACAGGAATCATCAAAACAGAGTAGATCAATTATATATCATATTTTTATATCGGAGTTTCACTGAAAGAAACCATGCAAAGACATATTAGTAAATGAGACATAGATACCAGACAGTCAAATCACCAGACATTGTAATCAATTATTTCTATAAATAAGTTCGAAAGTTACCCTGTCTCTTCACTCTTGCTCTATTCCGCCTTTGCGTATTGCAGAGTTATCTTCTCTTGGGAGCAGGTATTGATTGTTACGTCATTGGTTTGTGTGAGAAAATTACGTCGTTTTCTCAAAAATTGATGACGTTACTCTCAAAAACAAATGACTTCACAATCAATCCCTGCTCACAAGAGCAGATAACTCTGCAATACGCAAAGACGGAATAGGCTATAGGGCTAAATGGCAGGTCACATCCACAAATTTAACCTATAATAGCTATTTTCTACCCTGTCTCTTACCCTATAGCTAGTTATCCTTATATGGTATTAATACTGACAATAGCCAAGCACCCTCGAGAGGAAGTTCCTTTATGATACAAATCATTTGATCAACTGACACCAGCTTGATTAACAGATTTTAGCAGAAAAAAATAACACCTAAAGCTGACAATGTGGATAATATTAATTAAAACCAACTATAATTAGATACACTGTGTTTAACAAGATATAATATATTATTAGCTAAGTAGGTATTAAGCTGTGTATTATGTGAACATGGTTAGAATATTTTACAGCTACTTTGATCACACAAAACATAACACACGCACTCCGACAGGTAACACTTACAGGTACAAATACAACAGGTAATGTTATTCATCTTTGTGAAGAAACAGACAGTTAACCATCACAGTAACAGTAACACATATCACAGGTAGCTATATTTATCTTTGTTAACTTACAGTACAGGTAACCATCACAGTTACTGGTACAAATATCACAGGTAACTATATTTATCTTTGTTAACTTACAGTACAGGTAGCCATCAGTTACAGGTACAAATATCACAGGAAACTATATTTATCTTTGTTATATTACAGTACAGGTAACCAACAGTTACTGGTACAAATATCACAGGTAACTATATTTATCTTTGTTAACTAACAGTACAGGTACAAATATCACAGGTAGCTATATTTAACTTTGTTAACTTACAGTACAGGTAACCATCAGTTACAGGTACATATATCACAGGTAACTATATTTATCTTTGTTAACTAACAGTACAGGTAACCAACAGTCACAGATACAAATATCACAGGTAGCTATATTTCTCTTTGTTAACTAACAGTACAGGTAACCAACAGTCACAGATACAAATATCACAGGTAGCTATATTTCTCTTTGTTAACTAACAGTACAGTTAACCATCAGTTACAGGTACAAATATCACAGATAGCTATGGTACAAATATCACAGGTAGCTATATTTATCGTTGTTAACTTACAGTACAGGTAACCAACAGTTACTGGTACAAGTATCACAGGTAGCTATATTTATCTTTGTTAACTAACAGTACAGGTAACCAACAGTCACAGATACAAATATCACAGGTAGCTATATTTCTCTTTGTTAACTAACAGTACAGGTAACCAACAGTTACTGGTACAAGTATCACAGGTAGCTATATTTATCTTTGTTAACTCACAGTACAGGTAACCAACAGTTACAGATACAAATATCACAGGTAGCTATATTTCTCTTTGTTAACTAACAGTACAGTTAACCATCAGTTACAGGTACAAATATCACAGGTAACTATATTTATCTTTGTTAACTTACAGTACAGGTAACCAACAGTTACAGGTACAAATAATCACAGTAACAGTAACACATATCACAGGTAGCTATATTTAGCTTTGTTAACTTACAGTACAGGTAACCATCAGTTACAGGTACATATATCACAGGTAACTATATTTATCTTTGTTATATTACAGTACAGGTAACCAACACTTACAGGTACAAATATCACAGGTAACTATATTTATCTTTGTTAACTAACAGTACTGGTAACCAACAGTTACAGATACAAATATCACAGGTAGCTATATTTCTCTTTGTTAACTAACAGTACAGGTAACCAACAGTTACTGGTACAAGTATCACAGGTAGCTATATTTATCTTTGTTAACTTACAGTACAGGTAACCATCACAGTTACAGGTACAAATATCACAGGTAGCTATGGTACAAACATCACAGGTAGCTATATTTATCTTTGTTAACTAACAGTACAGGTAACCATCAGTTACAGGTACATATATCACAGGTAACTATATTTATCTTTGTTAACTAACAGTACAGGTACCCAACAGTTACTGGTACAAATATCACAGGAAGCTATATTTATCTTTGTTAACTAACAGTACAGGTAACCAACAGTTACAGATACAAATATCACAGGTAGCTATATTTCTCTTTGTTAACTAACAGTACAGGTAACCATCAGTTACAGGTACAAATATCACAGGTAACTATATTTATCATTGTTATATTACAGTACAGGTAACCAACAGTTACTGGTACAAATATCACAGGTAACTATATTTATCTTTGTTAACTAACAGTACAGGTAACCAACAGTTACAGGTACAAATATCACTGGTAGCTATATTTATCATTGTTATATTACAGTACAGGTAACCATCAGTTACAGGTACAAATATCACAGGTAACTATATTTATCTTTGTTAACTAACAGTACGGGTAACCAACAGTTACAGGTACAAATATCACTGGTAGCTATATTTATCAGTGTTATATTACAGTACAGGTAACCAACAGTTACAGGTACAAATATCACAAGTAACTATATTTATCTTTGTTATATTACAGTACAGGTAACCAACACTTACAGGTACAAATATCACAGGTAACTATATTTATCATTGTTATATTACAGTACAGGTAACCAACAGTTACAGGTACAAATATCACAGGTAACTGTCGGTTACAGTGGTCCCTATCCACTATTATATTTCACAAATATAACAAGTAACCATCATAGTTACAAGTACACATATCACAGGTAACCTTACTAGTTATGTCATAAACTAAGTAATAGGTAATCAGTATGTAATTTTAGATTTCCAATAGAAGTGACCAAACATCCAGAGGCAGTTTGACAGGTGTAACTTCTGACTGACATGCAGATAACAGTGCTGTAATCCATTATAAAAGTATCCAATTCCAAATCAGTATGTACCTGTGTTGAGGTAAGTAGACCCTATCCACTATGTACCTGTGTTGAGGTAAGTAGACCCTATCCACTATGTACCTGCGTTGAAGTAAGTAGACCCTATCAACTATATACCTGTGTTGAGATAAGAAGACCCTATCCACTATGTATCTGTGTTGAGGTAAGTAATCCCTATCCACTATGTACCTGTGTTGAGGTAAGTAGACCCTATCCACTATGTACCTGTGTTGAGGTAAGTAGACCCTATCCACTATGTACCTGTGTTGAGGTAAGTAATCCCTATCCACTGTGTACCTGTGTTGACCACTGTATTGAGGTAAGTAGACCCTATCCACTTTAGGTAAGTATACCCTATCAACTATATACCTGTGTTGAGGTAAGTAGCCCCTATCCACTATGTACCTGTGTTGAGGTAAGTAGACCCTATCCACTATGTATCTGTGTTGAGGTAAGTAAACCCTATCCACTATGTATCTGTGTTTAGGTAAGTATACCCTATCAACTATATACCTGTGTTGAGGTAAGTAGACCCTATCCACTATGTATCTGTGTTTAGGTAAGTAGTCTTTATCTATTATGTACCTGTGCTGAAGTAAGTAGTGTACCTGTGCTGAAGTAAGTAGTGTACCTGTGCTGAAGTAAGTAGTATACCTGTGTTGAGGTAAGTAGACCCTATCCACTATGTACCTGTGTTGAAGTAGTCCCTACAATTACATACATACTGTGACCTGTGTTGAAGTAGTCCCTACAATTACCTACATACTGTGACCTGTGTTGAAGTCGTCCCTACAATTACATACATACGGTGACCTGTGTTTAAGTAGTGCCTACAATTACATACATACTATGACCTGTGTTGAAGTAGTACTTACAATTCCATACATACTGTGACCTGTGTTTAAGTAGTGCCTACAATTACATACATACTATGACCTGTGTTGAAGTAGTACTTACAATTCCATACATACTGTGACCTGTGTTTAAGTAGCCCCTACAATTACATACATACTGAGCCTTCTGCTGAAGTAGTCCCTACAATTCCATACATACTGTGACCTGTGTTTAAGTAGTGCCTACAATTACATACATACTGAGCCTTCTGCTGAAGTAGTCCCTACAATTACCTACATACTGTGACCTGTGTTTAAGTAGCCCCTACAATTACATACATACTGTTACCTGTGTTGAAGTAGTCCTTACAATTACATACATACTGTGACCCGTGTTGAAGTAGTCCCTACAATTCCATACATACTGTGACCTGTGTTGGAGTAGTCCCTACAATTACATACATACTGTGACCTGTGTTATTTGACTTAGTAGTAGTAGTCATTAAACTCAAGTGAATAGCTGCAGTGATGCACAAACTTACCCTGATAACGTTTCTTATCTACAATTGTAAATGAAAACACACATGCAGAAAAAATCAAGGTTAGAAACAAAACATAATGTATACAAAGTGGTTTAAGAACTCAACACAAAGGTTGATACATTTTAAAAGAAAAACATCTATAAAACAAAGTGAAAAAAAAAAAAAAATCTAAAAAGTATTAAAAAAATATTCATTCTGGAACATAAGAGAGTTCACACATATATGATAGTGGAGTTCTGACTAATAGATGTGCATGTTACAAAGTCTGTATGTTTACTATATTCCTGTTTCAATTTATCATTTAAGATGGTCACCATGATCAACACAATGATCTTCATTGCTGATCCTCAGTCCCCTCTAACTAGAAGCAAAGCTTGGAGGGTCCAAGAGGTTGAAATGATGGGCAAAATGAAGGATATGAAATCTAGCCAAGCAGGTTGAAGCCAAAGCTTTTTCTTGATAGCTGACACATATTTTTTCTCTATCTCATTTCTAGGGCGCTGCATACTTTCTACATCTGATCTATTGTACTCAACATGGCGCAGTTTTTGTACTGGTACATTTTCTATCCCTCTCGACATGCATCTTATAATTCTTACGTGTAGCAGTTACTGTTTTCTTGACTATACCCAAAATGGGCATATATACTGGTATATGGATCTGGTACTTTATCATGAGTTGCAGAAAAAAAATATTCAAATCATTTTTTACATCTGTTTGGTAGGTATATTGATGACTAATTAATTCAATGCCACAGATGGTATTTTCTAAAGCTAAAAAAGAAAAAGAAATTCTTCTCGGTACAAAGATGTTAGCCAACAAAAGCACAATATCAAAAACTTTGGTAATAATGGATAGAAAATTAAGCTTTATTCAAAATTGATATAAAATTAAGAACTTAGGAACAAAATGTGACAGATGATGTCTGAAGAAAAGGCAGTTTGTATTTTGTTATATTATACAAGTGATCAATATGATATATAAAGTACAAAACTTTCATTTTGCCATTTAAAAAATTGACACACCCTTTTTATTAATTTTTAAACACAATGAACAATCAACATTTCCATCGATTCTCTTCAAATTATTTTAATCCTTTAAACAATGCAAAGTTGGCGTAATGTAAAAGAGATGAGCGGACGTGAAAAGGTGTGCATAGTATTTGTTTGGAGTTAGCTCCCTTGAGGTGCGGTGCGACCACATGAACCACTAAATTTTACAAAAGATTACTCTACCTGATCTCAGCTCAAGAATGGGCAGAGGTTGCACTGTTAACATACCAATAAATCATATTCAGGTACAAATACATGGGCAGAATTAACCCACAGCTATCTTCTGGAGTTAACACTTGTCCAACTTTCAGGAATCCTGCAGCGTGGGGCTTATTGTAAACATTGAAGGGCACCTAGAGGCCTGGGTATATTTTTCAGTTTCATAGACTTCTGCAGAACAAGGTAGAATGCTATAGGTCCGTAGACTCCTTTAAGGAGGGGTCTTATCCTTCGTTTAATGGAATATATTCAATGACCTNTTAAAATTAAAAAAAAAAAAAAAAAAAAAAAAAGTGCAAAAAAGGTATATATGCTGAAATTGTTCTTATTCAAAAAGTGTTAAGCAGTAGTTGGTTAACTGAACATATGCTTTTCAAACGTTTAGAAAAATAATATGTAAATGCCTAAATTGTAGTTTGGATATATCTCGTGTTCCATGACCTTTTCCTGTGCTATCTACCAAGCCCAAAGCTCAAACCATCAATGACACTATGTACTGTTAGCAGTGAAATATATATACATACCGGGTAAGTGTTGCCATTTTCACTTAACATGTTGGTCAGATAATCCTGATATTCACTATTGATTTAGCAATCATTTAAACGATATTTGTACACTAAAAGCGGTGGCAGTTCTGTGTAAATAAATGGGGCTATCTATGACCTTTCAATTTATAAATATTTATAACTTCTAATAAAATGTTTAAACATTTTCAATTTGTAAAAGCAGAAATATAAAACTCTCTAATAGATATCTATATCATTAACTTCAATGATAAAATAGTTATTTAAATGCTTTTTCTTTTAAAACAAAACTGTGACTTCATGCAAAAATGGATATATAAGATAAAGTAAAAAATAAAAATAAAATTGGGGGAAAATTCTTAGTAATTTTGTTAGTAGAGAGATAACAGGCTGCAAATTTTACTGTATTTTCTTTTATTTTCTCATGTGACTTAAATAAAAAAAAATATAGAGGGAAAGGATAATATCCAACTGGTTTCTTTTTGAACATCACAAGAAAGACAGATTTTTATTTTTTTTCATGCATGTGAATTTATCTTTTTTCCCCAAACAACAGTTAATTTCTTCCTTTTTTCATATTTTCAATCCAGTGAAAGCATCACAATTTCATCATACTGATCATTTCCCGTATTCCACTAGGAAAACTTTTAAACTACACAATTTCTCTAAGATTATCATCTAATAAAATAAAACATAAAAAAAAATGAACTGAATAAATTTATTAATAATTTATAAGGAGAAAAATATTACCAATAACATTAACAAAATTACTAATAAAATCAACCATATCATGCTTCATCAGTGCTTATATAATTCAGATCAAATCATATCATAAAATGTTTGAACCGACAATGAACTCCAAACAACAACAGTATTTGGTATATTGTGCAAAATGGTATAAATAGAGTATAGAGTATAACATCTAACAAGCATGTCTATACAAGCCGGGGCCGTAAAATAGGGTTCGAAGGGGGGTAACTCACCTTCCTTTACAGTGTCAGCCAGGACCGAGGAGTTCTTCAGGGAGGCCTTGCTGTCACTCTTCCTGCCGAAGTTGGGCAGTGATGACGACCTACAGTCACAAACATCCACACGTAACACAATTGCTATCTTAAACCAAACCTCATAAAGATAAAGATACTGTTTAATGGGAAATTTATGTCACAGTTTTAGCTTTTTCCTGTTTATTTGCCCGTCCCAATTAGGCCTAACTTATCAGCATACTCTTTATAGTAAGTACACATGTGAAGGGGCAAATTTTACACTGGGCGAATAATGATTTTATCAGAGAAGGGTGAATTATTGACTGGGGGAAACTTTTCTTGAATGTGGTATTTAAAGCCAACATTTCATATATAATGTTCATGTGATAAAATAAATATGCATTTATTTTAATCATAAATGACATTTCAGTCGAGGTTTTTGTTTTTTAGGTTTGTAACACACTAGGACAAATGTCAAATTGCATTTGATAAGTTTTTGCTATATTTATAAATTATTTTAAATATTTATTGTAAAACAGTAAGTGCAAACAGTGATTGTCTTACTTCAAATGATGAACATGATCATCATTATCGTACAATTAATACTAGAAGTTGAGGCTTCAGTAATAAATAAACGAGGGTATTATTTTAGGTACCTGGAGAATGCCGGTTCATTCCTGTTTATACCGTCACTGTTGCTGTATGCTTCGTTCTGACACTTTCCGCTAAAAATTACAAGACAATTGGATTATGAATATTTTTTTTAATAAAGTGTAACCTGATCTTGTCACATAAACTTTGCAGAAATATACATTTTCTCATAGGTCAAAAACAAGCAATTGAAGAAAATAAGTTGTAAGGTATGTGGCCCACACTTAATTTCACCATGTGACTTTTCCCTACCTGTTCAAAAGGACACTGATTTGCGTTTCACTCAGCACTCGTTATAAATGATTCTTCGTGTGATGATGTGTTCATGATGATCCTAACAAAGTTCATGCAGTGGTAAACACGGCAAGAAATAGAAGTAATCTACGGTAATCAAGCAAGCAGGTTTTACCTCTGTACACATACCTGAACCTAAACTTTGACCCCCGTGAGAACAGAGACCCTCCTGACCTCAGCTTGGGAGGATTGTCAGAGTTAGGCAACCTACAAAAACAAAATATTCGGTTAATTAATGTTTTTGCATAAAACATCCTAAAAAGCAAGAAAATAACAGCTGAAAACCATCCTGTCTCCATGGTTTTTCACTACAGGATTAATGTCAGCTTTTGGCCCAAAAGAGCAAATTTAACATTGTGGAACATTTTGAAAACCTTCATTTCTTACAGTATGTAAACTTGTTGATGGGATGATATGTCTCTATTTATTTAAGTTTTTTTTTTTTTCAGGAACACTTTTTGGACGGAACGACATATCTTAGAAAAAGTGGGGAACAAACCATGCGACGCTGTCACTTTTAACCCAAGGCTCTTCATCAATTCACCAGAAAATATGTTACCGAATTTCTGATCAAGTGAAAAAATTAACTCATATTCCACAAGGCAGCCCTAGATGATTTGAAGATTTAACAATTTGTTGAAACAGGATTGGATACTGTGGAAGAAAATTTGTCAAAATTTAACAACCAAACTGCAAAAACCAGCGCAGTATATACTACACGTTTTCCTGTAAAGCAGAACACATGATTTACGACATGTCAGAGCCACTTAGAAGACGGATCAGGTGTATCAATTGTAACATTTAATGTCCATATAAGGAGTTAGAAAACATATCTACAGATGGTTTCCCCCCGGAACATTACAGCTTGTGTCAGAACTCAATTATCAACGGTAGAATTGGGTTCGGCGAGGTACAGTAAGTACTATTATGGGAATTGAATATCGATACACAGAAGCTAGTGCTGGGCAATATTTCTACGAAATTACATTTCATATGAAACCGAGGGCATCAGCGCAATACACAGAACAGTCAGAATGAGACAGGGATACTTCTAACACTAAACGCTTTGTATTGATCCTACCAATAAACATACCAGTAGATCGCACAGATTATCATACATATGTACTAAACGAATCAAGAGAAAATACTTGCATGTCAAAACGAAAGCAAGAAGCAGCAGAAAATGTCAATTTTTTTTTTACACCCCCCCCC